GTAATAAATAGTACGAGAAAGTGACGGGTAACCCTGCCACTTCATGCACACATTTGTGCTTGTACAGATTGAGTCTTGCTGTATGTACTAGTAGTAGGTAAATAACTTTCGATCGTTGTATGGAGTGTCCGGGGTATGCCATAAGCCTCGATTACTATCGGAACCGCTGTCGCCAAAACGCACACAAACAAATGATAAACACTACGAAATCTTGATAATGATTAGTCATAGTTTGTAATTTAAAAAGATGTAACAAATACTGGATGGTTAATATAATTTAAACTTTACCCAGTCGCTATATCGTTGAAAGTTCAATGCCATTGTTGCAAGTTACGACGTTTTTATTTTATATTGAAATTTTATTCAATGTGCTGCCATCTTGCGGCCAGTAGCTTTTTTTTAATATCAAGTCACTGTACGAACAAGTCGTGCGCCTGATGGTAAGCTACATGCCTGTCCATAACAGTTGCAGTGCCATTGAGAGCTTTAAATCGCAAAGATTTGAGGGGCACTGCCACTGCGTCCGTCATCCAGAGACATAAGTTCACAAGTCCCATGTGTCTGTAATTTCACCAGCACCCTTACCCATCAAAACCGGAACACAGTAATGCGGACACAGTAATGCGTGGCGGCAGAAACAGATAAGGTGGCATTACTACCCTGCACGAACTCTTTCACAAGGAGCTCTATTGCTACTAAAGCTGGACTACGACGAACGACATATGAATCAATTCGATAAACAGAAAATTGTACATTTATTAATATAAGACTTACCGATGATATGAAATACTACTACGAGTAATATTTTTGGAGTGGCTATCATTTTGGCACTCCAAAATAGCACACTAACAAAACAGCTCATTTTTCTGCGATTTTAGAGAATTTGCGCGAAAGAATGACACAACCATACTATACAAAGCGAAAATGGCGGACTGAATTGAAATAGGTCTTTCAAGACCTATAATGTTGGCACGCGTCAGAAGCTAGCTAACCATTTCTACTGTATTAATTGTTCTGTGAACAATTTCAATAACGCACACACTCACAGAATCAGCATTAGGGAAATTCTGTATCGCGGGTGCCATACACACATATAGACAACCACAAATTACACCCAAACTTACGAGGGAACTAAATGTAGGCCATGCAAATTAGTTCCCGGCCCGGGAATCGAACCCATGGTCCTGGCAGTGCAGCGAGGTAACCGATAGCTTTCCATCAGTCACATCGAATGTAGACTACATTGAAATTTTATCCGAGTGTAAAATAATTACCCGTAGGCAAGAAAAACTTGTACTATCGTTGGTCACAGTTGTTTAACTTCTGGTGACGTGTGTCTATTTTATATAAATAAAATGATAAGTAATAATTGTAACTTTTTCATTGAAAATAAAATCGACCTCATAAATTTGCTTATCGGCTTTTTCCGATTTTCATGGGATCCCCTCATCAGATTCTGACTTCTTGGTGACAATGGAACTGTTACGGACTCCTTTGCACATTTCATACTTGGTGACGGTGATTTGTTGATGTATTTTATCAAGTGAAAAGTCGGCTTTTATTTGCGGAAAATATTTTTCAATTTGTGATAACCGAAACGAACCCGGAACAGCGTCGTTAGCGTCAGGGATCACCTCGAGAGTATTCCCTTTCAAACAAAAAAGAATGTTCCAAAATCGGTCCACAATTCACGAATAAATCGGTATGTCAATGTACATGTTTTTAAAATTTGAGGATTTTCCTCGATTTCCATGAATCCCCTCATCAAATTCTGACTTGGTGACAACCACGAGAGTGCACCCTTTCAAACTAAAAAAGAATTTTCAAAAACGGTCTACAATTGACAGAGAAATCTGAAAACATACATGCAGCCCAATGTATAACCTCCTTTTTTTAAGTCGGTAAAAATCACCGAATCACAAAAAAATCAGAGAATTTTTACTACATTAACATGAGTTTTCGGCGTGTTTTATACATGTAAAATTCTGAAAATTGTTTTTATCTGTCGTATCATTGCTACATTGACACCCAGTATTTTGCATACGTATTTTTATTTTTTATACATATGCTCATACTAATAGGTGTCAATTTTCTTAACCTTCACGGTCTCCTACGTAATGTTATTTTTCTGTTTTAAAAGTGAAAGAGCGCCTGAAGCGTTATCTTATAACTTTTCGTCGCCTCCAAAAGTTAAAGAGACAATCTAATTAATTAGACTTAAGCATAATGCAAACAAAATTACTTTTTGCTTAGAAGACTTATTATTGTATTTCATATTAATTGATTACGAACAGCAGCTTTTATAACAACTCTACACTAAGCGTATAATACTTTTGTAGCTACCCCAAAATCACGATTCTCTACTAATTTCTATTTCATAATTTCATCAGTCGTCCTTTTGTAGGATATCATTGATTTTGTTTCAATAAGAATTTAGACTTAAATAATCTCAGTACAGAGTACTAAAAAAAACCGACCTCAAAAGTACGTGGAATTACATCTATTTGCTAAGTTTCATTGAAATATCCCCTAGTTCGCCACTACAGGACTTGATACTGGAGGTAATAAAAATAGGTTCTCACTACGACACTACTCAAAGTATCTCGAGAAAAACGCCTATATAGAGAAAAACGCCTTGAATCGGAAAAATAGCAAAATCAACTAAATAATTGCTAAAAGTAATTGCTCCTAAATTAAAGTCAGGCACTATTTATAAAAATGAATCTTCATGCATGAACAGCCACCCTTTGAGGTGGTTCTTCAAAATAAAATGGGACCACTATGGAATTACCCTCTTTCCAACAAAAAAGAATCATGAAAATCGGTTCACAAATACCGGAGTTATCGCGTAACATACATACAAAAAAAAAAGAACATACAGTCGAATTGAGAACCTCCTCCTTTTTTGAAGTCGGTTAAAAATAATCAATCTACATTCTGCAGCAATCATTAAAGATTAATCACCTGGCTGTCGCTTTATTAGCGGTCTTTATTTTTCGTTAGCACGGTGGCTACAAAAGAAAGAGACGCACGGTATGAGTGTCAAGCAAATGCCAAACTTGTTGGAATACCTGTCCGCTGATGTATTCCGCCCATTCATTTTGCATACTGTCCATCATCCTATCAACAAACGTTTTGTTGCAGTCACTGTGAAATACTTTATTAACTTTTTTCATTCTATTCCTACCGGCAGATAGACTGTTCACCTGTTATAGTGGTAACTACCAACTATAGATATTTACGATACTAAAGCTGGGACCGAAGTGGTAATTATCATTGTAATTATCATTATAATAATCACGAAACCTTGATATATACAAACGTGTCATATGGAATTAGTAGCAATACTCCCCCTGAGTCACGGAATAAATTTTCTGTTTACACATGGAGCTCCCTCCATGATGTTTATGAAACTAGCATGAAACGGACACTGACAGAATTGAGACAATTAGTCTAGTTCTACTACTACCAGTTCGTTAAAAAAAGAGCTCCTTGTAAAAGAGTTCGTTCAGAGAAGTACTATCACCTGATCTATTTCTACCACCAAGCAGTAATGTGAGCATTACTGCGTTCCGGTTTTAATGGCACTGCAACTGTTATGGATAGGCGTGTCGCTTACCACCATGGGCACGAATTATCCGTCCCGTCACTTGGTATTATAAAAAAAGTTTTTTCAGACATTTTTCTTCGTGTTTATTTAATTTTCTCACTCTTTATCATTTTTAGTCAAAAATTATAGAGACAAGTATGAATCACCATGGGTAATTATCGGATACATATCGGATTATTGTCAGATAATTATCAAAAAAAATAAATGTCTTAGTAATGTCGGACCCTGAACGAAAGCATCTTTAATATCGAGAGTGCGTGACGGTCGTGAAACTTGAGACCTAAAATCTCTCCTGTGTCTGATTTAGCTGGCACTCCTCACCCGAACATTGCGAAATGAATGGACAGAATAGAGTTTCTCTATCACACTAATATCATAACTATAGGAGTTTGAGTAACATGTGGTGAATAATTGTTTGACAATTGAACTATGATCCAGAATAACGAACGCGGCCAAAAGTGTTATAAAATTACCATTTTTTTATTAAAACTAAGGGCGGTTACACACGGCAACTTTTAGCAGCGATGTAAGCGCGTGACTGCATCGATATAAACGTGCGATTGCATCTCTACACTTGGGATTTATGGGCGACGATTGCATGGCGCGTTTGCGTATTTGCGCCTATAAATCGCAAGTATAGCGATGCAATAGCGCGTTTCCCGAACGCGTATTAAAAAAGTGATCATTTGATCACTTAGTCAGCTGTGAATCAGTATCAGTTAAGGATACGTTATTGATGTAGTAGGAAGTTTCTATAACAATACTTATTTTGCTTGTGAATAATGTGTGTGACCCCAAAAGGGGATAATGCCCCTTCCCAATTCCGCGGAACATGACTTTTGCCTATTGTTCCAACACCACTAAATCAAAACTTCAGACTACGAACAAAGCAAATAAATGCACGAAGCTAAAACGACTATAGGAGTTTTCTGAAGTGTATTAAGGAATGGTGTTGAAATAAGATTTCGGTACAACACTATAAATCAATCGAGTTTGCATAACGAATATTAAAATAACATTATTTATTCAAAACGAACAATTCGGATCCGAAAACTGCGTAATGGATGTTACGAACTGCACATAGGTGGAATATTTTGTATTATAAAATCATTTCTTATAATGGATGTGAAGATTCAGAATTGACAAGGTACCAAATATAACATCGGAAATCGGACAAATGAAAAGAGAAGAGCGTTGAATTTGTGTAAAAATAGAAAAGTCTCTCTAGTTTAAAAAAAGAAACAACAAAAATTCGAAAAAATTTTCTTGGACAAGTATTAAAATCAAGTATATAACCACATTACAACTACATTTTATTTCATGTGCTTTATTTGCGACGTCGTGGCAGTCAATTTATTAATACCGTCCAATTAAGAGAGGGTCAGCCTATATGAATAAACGCCAGTACAAATTCATTATTCAGCCTTCTCGTAAGAGCAAAAAGTGTTTTTACAGCAATTTTAACGCCTCAAAGTTTATATTCCGCAACTTCCGTCTCGTATAATATGGATGAAAAATTTAAAAATGTAAGTGGGTATTGCATTTAGCATTTTGTGTTATCATAATAATTATCACGGTAATAATTGTGTAAAATATTAAATGAACTTCTCCAGTCTAAAGTGATTTTCGATCCTTTCTAATATTTATCATCATTATTTTTTTTTTGTTAAAATAACAACAATGAGACGTAAAATCCATTACGCATATAATGACGAAAATATTTATTTTTTAATTATGATGTGACGGAACAAAGAACTCGTACCGCTGGTGTTAAGCGACACGCCTGTCCATAACAGTTGCAGTGCCACTCAGAGCTTTAAATCGCAAAGATCTGAGAGGTACTGCCACTGCACCCATCACCTTTAGATATAAATAAGTTGACAAGTCTTATGAACCCGTGATTTCACCAGCACCTTTAATCCTTCAAAACCGGAACGCAGTAATGCTCACATCACCGCTTGGCGGCAGAAATAGGTCAGATGGCAGTACTTCCCTGGACATACTCTTTCACAAGTAGTTCTATTGCTACTAAAATTACAGTTATATTATTTAAAGGTTAACAAACTTTTTGGTAAAGGCAACAAATAATTTGCTGAAAAATAAGTATATTTTTAGTTTTATATAATATGTATTGCCGCAGTGTTTATATAACGACAGCTCGTAGCAATTCTCCCAACGTTTGCTAGTAAAGCGACAATTTGCAGTCAAAACTACCAAAGGCACTCGAGCTAGAGTTGCGCAAGGCTTACAACCGGCCCTCCTGGGAGTCTAGTAACGAGGGCGTCCATGAGAGGGTCACCTTCGACGACACCATTTGGGGGTTCAATCTTGCTGGCGGCGCGTATTACAAGACTCCTTTAAGAATCACTCAGGTATGACAAAATATTTACACGTATGAAAAAATATTCATCTTCGAATCATATGGAAAGAAATTAATTCACCAAGGAATTTATTGTTGCCCAAATTGAAAAATTTGTTATATCTGAACCTGCAATTTATAAAACTGGCTATAATAAGTAAGTTTGTTTGCGCACTTAAAATTTTTTACACAGAATACACTGAACAATTTATAGTGAAATTCCAAGAACACCACGCGATCACTGTCAGCTCATCATACATCACTAATTAATGTAATATTATATACTAAAATTTATTCAACAGCCATATAAATGAAAGTTTTAACCTAAAATTAAAAGTAAATCCCGTTGCCATAAAACACTTAATTAGAAGGTTGTAATTATCATTTTTAGTCTTTTGATATTCATTTTATTTCGGTTTTGGTTGAAATAAAGCAGGTTGAAAGCCGGCTTCTGACAATTAAAATAATCTTTGGAACAAATACTTAACGTTGCGCCATAGGGCCTTTAAGAGAAAAGGGAAATTTGAATAAAATGTCTTTATTTGCAATTTTATTTTAAGCCTGAAAGTTCACCTTCGATAATCGTAATACAAATAAATATGTAGTGTATTTTCGGTGCCCAAACTCTATTCTTTTTGGGAACATAATTTTTCTGTCAATATTTAATTTTTCCATAAACCAATCATCAAAACCGTTAGACGGACATTCTTGACGCGTTAATACCCACAATGTTCTTTAGCTTATGGACTGAAACTTGACGTATGCGTATTTACTTAAAACATCGAGTACGTACTCGAGGACCTAACACTAACAAAAGAAAAATTACCAAGACTTGACTGTATGGTTTTAAACCTTTGCCATTTCCTTGACGGAAAGAATTAAAAAACAATCAAGCAAGCATGTGGACGCCATTTTAATTAAGGCAATTTTTAATGAATAAATTGAACAATCTTTGTGACGGGACGAACAAGTCTAGTAGTGCGCCTAGTATTAAGCTACACGCCGCCTGTCCATAGCAGTTACAGTGCCGCTCAGAGCTTTAAATAGCAAAGATCTGAGGGCCACTGGTACTACTCCTGTTGAGAAGTCCCATGTGCCTGTAATTTCACCAGCACCCATACCCTTCAAAACCGGAACGGTAATGCTCACATTACTACTTGGCGGTAGAAATAGGTAAGGTGACAGAACTTTCCTGGACGAACTCTTTCACATGAAGCTCTACTGCTACTAAAATCATAGAACGCGTTGTAATCATAGAATCATGCAACGACGCAACGGACCAGCAACGCCCGCATGACATCGCTCTAATACCTTCACACTTTTCTGGTGAGGGCCAACACATATTCGTAAACTTAGAATAATAACGCATAGAATGATAGTTTCATAAAAAACGAACTGTCACAAGTGAGGCAAAAATCAAATTCATGTAGGCGTAAGCAACTTGTATTTACGCTCGTCGGCACGCACACAAATATACAAATAATGATGCCATGGAATAACATTTCCCTCAAAAGTGGGGAAATTGTATCTTGCTTAACTCATCGTTAAGTTAGAGGTGCCTACAGATTTGCTCGATTTTGTCGATCGTTACTGTCGATCAGGTGCCTACAGATATGCTCGATTTTGTCGATCGTTACTGTTGATCGACAACGTCAAGAGTTTTCAAAAAATTATTTTTGGCAATCCTTATGGAAATGGCATTTATATCTGAATACACGAAGGCGGACACGACTTTTCTCAATTTCTAAATCCAAGATGGCGGACACGTCTTTTCGAATAAATGCAATATGGGAATCGTTTTCGAGGTATTCGAGGTGCTCATCACGAATATGGCATTTATTTCTAAATCCAAGATGGCGGACACGACTTTTGAAATAAATGCAATATGGGTATCATTTTCGAGGTATTTGGGGGTGCTCATTACGAATATGGCACTCATTTCTAAATCCAAGATGGCGGACACGATTTTTCATATAATGGCAAGTTGGGGATCGTTTTCGAGGTATTTGGGGGTGCTCATTAGGAATATAGCACTTATTTCTAAATCCAAGATGGCGGACATACTTTTCAAATAATAGCAAGTTGGGTGTCGTTTTCGAGGTATTTGGGGGTGCTCATTAAGAACATGGCACTAATTTCTAAATCCAAGATGGCGGGCACGATTTTTCGAATAACTTGGGTGTCGTTTTCAAGGTATTAGGGGCTGCTCATTCCGAATATAGCACATATTTCTAAATCCAAGATGGCAAAGAATTAGAAGAAGAAGAATTAGAAGTCTTGTCCCCCATCTTGTATTCAGATATACATGCCATTTCCTTATGGTTTACCAAAAATACATTTTTGAAAATTGTTGTCAACCATCTTGGATTTAGAAATTAATGCTACATTCGTAATAAGCACTCTAAAACTCCTCGAAAACGTCTATAATTCTCAATCGTTACTGTCGATCGACAATGTCGAGCAAATCTGTATGCACCATATTAAATACTACCCAATTCTTATTTAACTCATATAGGAACAAAAACCTACAAGCGAGTTTAAGTGCGACTATCGAATTTGAATATATAAATAGCCTGATATTATCTGTGGGTATGTTTATATGAAAAGTACACGATAACAATTAAGAACCTGAACCTGAAAGTTATTTATACACGATTTTGGAGAACTGACGATGACTTTTTAGTCAGTGTTAGTTTCCTGAAATAATTTTAGTTAAGAACTTTTGAGTCTGGGCAAGACAATTTTTTTAAAAGAGTGTATGATGAACAAGAATAATGATTTTTCACATGAAACTAATGAAGGCAAATACTAAATATATTTCGTAAAAATACTTAACGTAAATTCCCTACAATGTTGTTGCGGCGGTGTACATTTGTAGAAATTTGCAACCCTCGCGATATTGCCTATTCTCAAAAAATTACGTAACATAATTATTTTGAAACAGAATAGCAAAATGAGGAGAAAAAACCCGTTACTTTGCAACATTTTCGTATCTTGTTGCAACGAAATTAATTTTCTGTTTTAGTGAATATTTACATAAAAATACAAGTTGAAACGCGTTACTTCCTTGTGGAATGTGATGTTAGTGTCTAGTTTATATTTGTCTGATCTATTTATAAACCCAATTACCGCACATTTCGTCATTTTTAGGAAAAATTTTTGAGCTGCTCGCGGTGCAACTTGACCTTGAGCACTGACAGCCCGCTCGCTCGTGTAAGCCCACAGGGCGTCCTACAATTTGCCTCACTTAGCGTATGCGGGCTAGGTTTCTATGCGTTATTATTCTAAGTTCGTAAACCAATTCCACAATAAATAAATTGTAAAATATGACGAGCATTTATTATGTAGAAACAAAAAATATTCACAACAAACAATAATCTCAGTACTTACGGAGTACTGAAAATCCGATCTCAAAAGTCATTCATCCCCTAGTTTGCACTGCTATTAAAAAACTACTTAAAAATACTTCCTATGATTGATTAAATATAACTTTGCTTTTTATTTCATTGTCAAAATATCGTTGCTGATCCGAAGTTTTGATGCTCATCAAGGCTTCAGTAAATGCGATTCAACGCAGCTCGTTCGTTGTGCACAAACTGCATTCATTCCAATTCCGCCCATCAATCTGCCTCGCTCATTCACTGGGGCTTTGGGGCGAACTATTGTTCTGTTCCATTCGATCGATACTTAATAAATTCTTTCTCGTGGATTAGCTTTAAATGTATTTGAGAACAGACAACATTACCTATGGCGATTATAAATACACTGCTCAACAAAGTCTAGGAAGCAAGGTTAATACATTTTTTTTAATTTAACTGTTTCCTTGTATGTACATTAAAAGAAGCGTTATTTCATATTCATTTTAATGATAAAATTATAAAAGGGTTGTTAAGAAAAAAAGAATCAGAATTTATTACAAAATACAAGAAAAAATATTACGAAATAAAATTGTGTCAAAATATTTTTTTTTTTTTTATAAAATTCAAGAAAATCTATAGTAACAGTGAAAATTAATAAAAAAAACGATTAAATAAGTTTTTTTAATAGTCAGTAGGACCTCCCAAGTCATTAACGACGGCTCTACAACGGCGTGGCATACTAAGCATGAGGTAGCCTGTGGAATAAGACACCATACTCTGGACAAATGTGAATAAAATTCTACTGCTAACAACGTAATATCGTACTCGCGGAACATCACCAGCCCTGCAGTGTGTGCATGTGCATTATCGAGCATAAACATGAAATGTTGGCCGAGCTGCTGTCAATGAGGAATAACCGTGGGTTGCACAACTTATTCGTAGTATCGTTCCAAACGAGCTCAGTTCTTCCACCCAGGCGAATTCCAGCCCACACCTTTATCGTTCCGCCTGGGTATAGATGAACTTCCTGAGAATTTTCTGTGTGCAATGTGCAGTTTTTGACAAGTCTTGTTTGAGTCCACTGAAACAAGTCTTGTCAAAAAAGAGCACACGCGCTCACTGAGTTTTACTGCAGTGCAAATGTGCGCTAGTACACCATAAACAACTTCCTCGATTTCCCCGTCATTACAAATGGAACTCTTAGCGATCTCCGTGCATGAAGATGGACTTTATATTATACTCTTCTCCTAGCAGTTTGGTCACTAACAACCACTTGGTGCAGGGACCGCAGTTTTCCTACCAGTTGTCGTGCTGTAAAATGTAATACAATCTCCTTGCTATATTTTACATAAAACTGATCTTGTCTCTGGGTAGTGACCCTGTATCTTCCTCGGTGACGTTCAATTACATGTCGACAATACATAATCGACAAATTACGTTTGGTTGCGAAATAACAACGGATACAACATCACACTGATTGCGCCCAAGTTCCAACATACTCTCAGCCCTAAGCATCTCTTCCCGCATTAAATGACGACGACATGACGCTTAAATTCATAAAAGTTAATGAAAAGAACAATAAATTGTAACATAAGAAAAATAAACACGTAGTGATAATAAACTCTCAATTACTAAATTAGAAAAACCAGTGCTCTATACCCATACAATGTGTTCCATTCTAATTTCAAAATACTTTTCCTTTTTGTTTTATTTTTTAAATTTCGAACTATAATTTAATACAGATTTCATGTTTCAGTGGCCAGTACTTAAAAAAAAAATTAGTTAATATAATGGGCTTATACGCTAGACTTTGTTCAGTAGTATATCTTAGGATAGCTAATGTTGAATAGTGTTGGTAATATCAAAATTCATCAGAAAACTTAATATTTATTTATTTAATACGGTACACGTAGGTCAATGTCCGCAGGTCACATTTACTCAAAATAACATTACATCAATTTTTTGCAAATTATTGTAATAATGCAATCCACTTACAATTGTATACATCTTGTTCAATAATACATGCAAAGTTGACCGAACAGCACTATAATAATAAAATAGACAAAAATACGAAAATGTTACAAAAGTAATAAAATTTTAGAATAATTGTGATAACAAATAAGCACTTGTAATATTTTTGTAAACTCTTAAAATTGATTAAACTTGGTGAAACGGTTTAAAAATATATTGATTCATACATTGACCTAGATTCATATGAAGTGAAAGCCATTTTAAAAGCTTTCAGTTATGGCCAAAAATATTATAAGATTTGTGTTGGAAAAACATAGAAGCAACAATGCATAAAACCATATTATGTCACAATCTTTTAACAAGATTTGTCTTTTAGGTAAAAGAAGGCAGTAGAGCCGACCACGCAGGAATGAAAGTGGGAGACTTGCTGGTACGAATAAACGACATCGATTCTTCAACTTTGTCTATACAAGAAGCACACGACATAATCTTAGAGTCTGGAATTCAAATAAAACTTGCTTTGACAGCGTACGTATTATTACAAACAAATTACAAAAATTATTATGTACATAAAACAATATCATTAAATATAATTTGAAACAAATACACAACATTTATTATATACATACAGCTTTTGAAATTCATTCAATAACTTTTAAACATAAAAAAGTAATCACTGACGCTTATACATACAACTTTAAAAGTTGTGCCCTATACTGAAGTTTTCGTTCCTAATGGTACAAGACACTGATGCCATGACATAGTCTTGACGTCTAAAGTTTCAAAGAAAGTCAACCTTAGTTAGCAACTTGTGTCTAAATGAAAGTAGTTTGCGGAGTTTCCATCATTTTCTTAAGATGCACGTTTTCATTCTGCACCTTAAAGAACTTATTATCTCAGAAGGCGATTGAAAGAAGTAGTGGTATGCACTTAGTACGTCCTTCTTAGTCTGAAAATTTGTGAATAAGTTATTAGCAATTAATAGATTCAGGCATTACTTTACGGACATCCATGTTAATAAAAATGGAAGTTAATTAAGCTGCTACTCCGCGAACCCAGTAGAGGTCCAATCATGCAGAATTGCTTGCGTTAAATTTTTTTTGCATTAAATTAATAAAATAAATACCTAACACAAATGCAACTATAGTCACAGATATCACCTCTAAAAGAGTACCAAATACGAACGAACAATCAATAACCCCTGAGGATGGCTTGTAAAGACGCGAAACACCTGTCGGGAATATTTTTGGTGGTGATCATATCTGTGACAGTAGTAGCGCTTGTATTATTTATTTTATTAATTTTATGCGTAGTTACAATGAGAAAATTAAGTGCTGTAAGAATGGTACGAGGAGAGGGTGGGCGAAGTAAAATACTGGAGTCTCCAACGGCGTTTAATCACGGAGGGAAATTAACATATGAGGCGTAATTGAGGATACGCCTGCGTATCCGGAGCTAGCAAACCGTCTCACGAGGTGGAAGCGGCAGACGGCGAGCGAATACAGCGAACGACAGAACTACAAGCTTTCAACGAAGTATTCCAGCAGGCGTGGAAGTACTTAGAATGACACTCGTAGGCCCTATCATTCGATATAAAACATTTGTTTTTTAAGAATATTTTGCAGTTGGCCACTGATGGCCTTGACTGCACCACCGGAAAAGGTGACGAGCTGAAGGCTCATAACCCCTAAAATAAACTAAAAACTAAACTGAAAACTAAGTAGTGGGCCTGAGGGCGCCCAAGTGAGCACAGACCTCGGCTCAGGGCGCTACTGGAGACTTCCGCCAGAAAAGCGTGCTAGATAGCGTGTGGAGATAATCTACCCGTGTACGTGCTGAAATGAGGGGCTCTACGACCGCGTCGGCGGGACGGTTGGTGTGTGTAGAGACGGACTGATTGGTGTCGATCTTTTTGGCCTTCAAAGTAGCGAGTGATGTCGTCAGGGGTCGTCAGGGGTCGTCAGGGTCGTTGAGGACTTCCTTGGCCGACGGGTCCTGCATTCGAGGTGGGGGTGTATCCTGAGGGGATAGTAATTGGATGCAGCCACCATGAGGGGGTCGAGGTGGTGAGGAGCAGAGTCAAAGTATATCCTCGGTGCCTGTTTCATGAATTGGGCTATTGTGGGGAGCCATAAGTCTATGTGGAGGTTAGCGTTGCGCAGATACCACGGGGCACCCGTCGCGTTGCGGATGAATCTATTTTGTTGAGCCTGCAGGCGGTGTATGAGGGTGGAATTTATCTGTGCGAATGCGACGCTGGCGTACGTCATAATTGGGCAGAAGCAGGTCTTGTACAGTCTCACCTTATTAGGAAGGGACAGTTTACTATGCTTATTGAGAAGGGGGTAGAGGCAGCTCATTATAAAGTGAACGCGATCGTGGATGATTTTCACGTGTTCTTTGAATGACAGTTTCCTATCGAGCGTAACTTCTAGGTATTTACCGTTCCGCTTCGGCGCAGACGTACGGGGAGAAGGCGAAGGCAGTTCGCTGCTCGCCTAATCCCCGAGTGAGGCCAGCGGGATCTGGACACGGACTCACTACTTAGAGTATGCAAATCTATTAATACCAGGTCCCCTTTTCAGTGCTCTAGGCATTATTTTCTGCTTTTATCTACGTATTCTTTTCTCTTCTCTTCCTTCATTTTTTGTATTTCTTGTGTTCTTTTCTGGGTTACTGGCATTATTAGAAGCCGTGGTGAAATTTCTAGGATGAATTTCTCATTCTGTATTATTTCTCTGAGATCGTGTTCAACGTCATCACGAGTTCTCAACTCACGTCCAAACGTTAAGTACGCCGGTGTATTTCCGTATGAACAGGATTTGGTTCTGATCAAGTCATATGATCGTCGGCCGCAAGAATTATAAGCTGAGTCTTTACGTCACGGTTCCGTCTATCCACTGGGTACATTACAGGATGATATACTGGCGTGACTCCGTGGCGGGTATTCAGCCAAAATGTTATTTTCTATATGATGCTGCTTACGAATTGGGTGCCAATATCACTAATGAAACGACGAGGTGTCCCGTATCTCAGAATTATTTCATTGAGGAGTATTTTGGCACATTCCTCTGCTGTAGCTTGTTCCAGAGCAAATAACTCTACCCGGCGGGTAGTCACATCCTCTACAATGAATACTCAGTTATGGCCATTTCTGGTTCGCGGCAATGGATCGAACAGATCGAAGGAGACGACCTCAAATAGCTGATTACTGGCTGTTGTCTAAAGTAGCCCTGCAAATTTTTGGTTCGAAGGCTTGTATCTCCGACACTCTAAACAGTTGCGAATGTAAGCTTCTATCTAAATTCTCATTCCTTTCCAGAAGTAGCGCTGAGACTCTCGTTCCATTGTCTTCTCTTTACCGTAATATCCCGCCACTGCGTCATTATGATATTTATTGCAATTAAATTGGTCTGTTCTTGCTTTGGTACCACTAATTGACCTTCCTCGGTTTCGCTACCTGGGGAGTATCCATGTAACAGACCCCGGTCCACTATATAAACCCTTTTTGCTCCAATACTGAGCATTCTCCTCGTTAGTGCTCTCTAGACCTTCGCCTATCCTTTGTGTGTCGTTGTCTTTCAGTTGTGCCTCTCTTATTTCCTGCTTGCTGCTGCTGGACATATCAACCACCGCCGTACATATGCCACAGTTGTCTTCAGTTTTGGGTTCGCACGCTGGACAGGATAAGGAGTCAGCGACTGCATTAGTCTTTCCGCTGATGTATTTTATAGTGATGTCGTAGGGTTGAAGTTGCAGAGCACAATGTGCTAGGTGACCTGTAGGCACTTTAGGGACATAAGCCACCTAAGCGCCTGATGATCAGTCATGACTCTCTCTATCATCTCCTCCCTCTATGTAACCTCTAAATTTGTTGCCATCTCAAATTACTGCAAGCATCACGTTCAGTTGTAGAGTAGTTTCGTTCTGATACGGTCAAAAGTCTGCTCGCGTACTCTACGGGGTATTCAGTCTCGCCCTACCTCTGCATCAAAATTGCACCTACAGCGTAATTACTCGCGTCGATCTTGATGATGCACTGTTTTGTCCCATTTGCTTGGGCGAGAACCGGGCAGTTGGAAAGCAGCTTACGTAATTTTTCCAAGGCTGTTTGCTATTCCCATTTCCAAACAATATTTTTCTTTGTGAGGCGGTTAAATGATTCCGCAATACTAGCGAAACTAGGTATGTATCTTTTATACCAAGAATTCCTGCAAAATAATGAGGACACTTTTACACTTAATGGTCATCCCGCTAAAGACACCGAACACACTATTGACACAGGCAGTCATAAGCCGATCCATGTGCCACCTTATAGATTGTCTCCATTGAAGCGGGACAGCTTGAATAAAGAAATCACCGAAATGCTAAACCAAGGCATCATTGAACCGTGCTCATCATCACCCTAGTCGGTTTCGGTAGCGATGATCCCAAAAAAGGATGGAACCACCAGAGTATGCATCGACTACGGCCAGCTGAACGCCATCACTACTCCTGATGCGTATCCATTATTATTACACAATATCAAGCCTACGCCATTTATGACCATTATAGATCTACGCGCAGAATATTGGCAAATCAAAATCAAAGATCCGTTCAGGAAGCGCAACGCGCCCGCCACTTTCAACGAATGATAGAGTTTCCGGGTGACATGGTTGGTGGAAGTTGCGAAAAGTGCAAACGTTTATGCCTCACGAATGCTTCAGTGGATACGTTTGAGTCTTGCTTCATTTGGGTGACTTCAGAATAAGTCAAGTATACTTCTTGTTTAGGTGCGAAGCTATCACGAAGTCTTCCATTAAATTCTATCCAAGTACTGACTTCATTCTTCACTCCCTGCCACCAAACTCCTGCTTCATCCTTAAGGAGTAATGGTAATTCGTTCAAGACGCTTCTGTCCGTAATGTTTTCCGCACGTTTAAAAATATTTACCGCTGCTAAAAAAGCTTCAACTATCTCGGAGTTCTTGCATCCGTTTTAAGTATAGTTGCAGGTTGTAAATGAACCTGTTCGTGCTTCTTTCTCTGGCGACCCCAGTTGGGATAGAAGTCGTTCAAACTGTTCGGGTGTGAAAGTAGCCACCTTCTCTTTCTTCGTCGGCTTCTTGATGCGAAAAGTTGTCACACGTCTACTTTTTGTAACGAATGTAGGGCCTCCGGAACTACATCGTTGTCTCAACTTGTTACTCGGAGATCCGAAGAAGTCCTCCTCACTCATCCGACTCTTCGTTAGGGTTTAGCTTTCGACCGTCAGAATTGTCAATCGAGGCCACGAGTTGAAGCGCCAATGTAAGAATGGTGCGAGGAGAGGGTGGGCGAAGTAAGATACTGAAGTCTCCAACGGAGACTCACGTCTTAATCAAGGAGGGAAATTAACATAAGAGGCGTAATCGCAGGTGTATCCGGAGCAAGCAAGCAGTCCCACGGGGTGGAAGCGCCAGACGACGAGTGAATACAGCGAACGACAGAACTTCGAGCTTTCATCCAAGAATCCCAGCAGGAGTGGAAGTACTTAGAATGCCATGTAGACCCTATGATTCGATACATGACCTTTTTTTTGGTTTGGTCAGTTGGCCGCTCATGGCCTTGACTGCGCCACCGGATCAAAGGGTGAGCTGAAGGCTCATTAAGGATACAAAACCATTCTCTTTCAACGCTTATATATTAATTTAGGAAACGCTTTGATAGCGTGTTCTGTTTTGGTCCTAATATCATCCAGCGGTGACGCGTCAAACTAAACAAAATTCATCAACACTAATTTTAGTGAACGCTTTGGTAGTATATCCTATTTCGATCCTAATGCCATCCAGGGATGGCCCGTTGAACTAAACAAATTTCATCCATACTAATTTTGGTGAACAATTTTATAACGTGTTCTGTTTCGATCCTAATGTCATCCAGCGCTGGCGCGTCGAACTAATCGTTGTGAGGTGGTGTTATATAGTGCATGAAAAAAAAACTCACAAAAATGCAGATATTTTTCACAATTGAACCTCCCCTGGGTTCGCGAAGTAGTAAATTAATGTACTACCATTTTTATTATGTTATTAGCGTATTTTCATACACTTACTATGATATTCAGTTAATACAACAAAAATACAAAATATAAGATTGTACTATACTAAACAAGCTGCTGTGCGAGTACGAACCTAGCTGCCCAAAACTTCCACGAACGTGCTACAAATGTAACTAGTTTCTACGATTTTCTCGGAATGACGCATGTTCTAAAAGTCCCGAGAACTAATTTAAAGTTTGAAGGGCAGTACTTATTAATTGCATCGCATATATCTTTCGCACCGGTTAATTTAAAAGGCGGTCTTATATTGACTGTATTGCAGTAAACCATCTCAATGTAAAAAAGAAAATGAGGTTATGTAACAACCATTATGATTATTATATATACAGTCTTATTCTCTGGATACAGACTTTATAACTTGGGCCTTTTCAAGGCGAGAGTGAATAGGCATTATTTAGGTGTGCATGCTCCATCGTCGACCTCATCGTTACTTTCCATCAGGTGAGATAGAAATGCGCACTTAGATTTAATTTAAAAAAAATTGTATACCTGGAAGACTCTAAAAAAATGATGTTCTCAATGCGTCAGTATTTTTTTTTGTCTGTTACGCGATTATTCCGACATTTGTGAACCGATTTCGATGATTCTATTTTTGTTGGAAAGCGGATACCTCAGTAGTAGGTTCATTCAAATTTGAAGAGAATATTCCACCTCTAAGGGTGGCAAATTAGGGGATGAATCCGGTTTATTGTATTTTACCCACTTTTCGTTAACCGATTTCAATAAAACTGCACGTCACATTTTTTATTTTTTATTATGTAGACAGCAAACAAGCATATGGCCCGCCTGATGGAACGCGGTTACTGTTGCCTATAGACGCCTGAAACACCAGAGGCGTCACGAGCGCGTTACCAACCCTTTAGGACGCTTCTCAAACCCCTTTGAAGGACTCCATGCTGTGTTAATTCCACAAACTAATTATTGCTGTGATTAAATTGTACGTGGGAGGAAGCTCATCTGAAACAATACGAGATCAACTCGGTTCCAGAGTGTGAGGATGGACTCCCTGCCGGTGGCGAGCGGTGCGATGATAAAGTGTTGCTGTTCGCATCATGGCAAACACTTCTTCAGAATATTGCCCATAGTACAGGTGATAGAACAGACATAGAGAGGCAGAGTCGCTCCTCGAAGACAGTGGTTCAATATCGTCTCTAAGCACAGGATCGTCAACAATTTTCATAGCACGTCTTTGAACCCCGTCGAAGGCTCCAAGCTGGCATCCTGGAGCTCCGCCCAAAGATGGCAGCAGTATTCTATGTGGGGACGGACTTGTGACTTATAAAGTAGCAGTCTCTGCTCCGAAGTAAGCCAGCTTGATTTTGCCATCTAAGTGATTACAAACTAAGACTTCCATAAGCGTTTCAGTTATCATTATCAGTTATCCGCGGTAACGAACACAGCGAAAGCGGATAAAGCAAACTTTTGAAGACGGTTATTTTTATGAAAAATTTTTTTTAATTATTTGGTATAACTTATTTTATTATTTCCGTAATGGGAATAATTTTAACTAAAAACACAGACTACAAATACTGAATCGATGAAACGAATTGACAACATTAATCAATGAATTTGTAAATGTGAATCGATTTTAAGAAATCTTATCAATATGCAATCTTTTGTTGTTTATAAGTTTGGAATCTGTTAACTCCAATGGTTGTATTTATTTTCGTTGAATTATTATCTGACACTTGCGTTTTCGTATTTTTAATTGTTTAAACTCATTAACATTAATTGAGTATATTTTAGTCGATATTATACTTTGTTGGTGACCTTAACTAATTTTAGATTAACAATTGGATTTTCCAGAATGATTTTTTAAAACTTTGAAACAGAAAATTGTAACCCGTTTTTAAACCATATCTCAACTCAATCAGATCCAGAATGCCCTGTCTCATTTAGTACGTCTTACGACAAAACGTGAGTCGTATCTTAGTTAAGGTATTAAACCTATTGGCATCCGCAATGACTTGGTGGTGGAAATAGGAAAATCAATTTATTTATGTGTCTTTAAACACAAAAAGTACAACGATATTATATCAATATTTTTAAAATCCTGGTTAACAGGGTCTTGTAATCAAACTCTCTATTTTATAGAATTCAGACATTTTCACAAGTCTATTTAAGCTAAGTTAGACGATTCACCTGAAGGGAAAAAGGTTTACCGTACTAAGAAAGGTGTGAAACATACATCGCAAATGTGTTTTCTAGCCGTGGGACAATATATCAAGCTCCGGCGCTGAATCTGCCCTCCCTTCAATCTGAAACACAGCAGTACTGCATTGCGGTAAGGGCGCAGACAAGTTCCGCATAAAGAAGGTTGTGCTAACACCAGTTCTATTACTCCTGACATCTCGTTAATAACAGATCTGATCGCTAAGATAATAATAATGTGCTAGACAACCAAACCAATCGCCTGGTCTCAAAATAGGGAATTCCCTGAACTATGAGTATCAAAGCAACGGAATTGACTATAGGACACCTCCCAGAACAACCAGACTAGAGTCCTGCCGACAATCGAACACGGCATCTCCACATCCAGCGCCCACAGTGTAAACCGTTAGGCCAATGAGGTCGTGGATAATAGCTAAGAATAGGACGACTCATCCGAAGTACAGAGTCTGATGTGATTATACAACGAAAAAAGGATAAATACATAATCTCGTTATTAAAAATAAGGTCTAGCTATAAGTGTTTTCAGAATTTTATGTATTAATATATATATATATTTATGTACAAATATAAAATCGGTCAACAGTCGATCTAATATCCACAGCTAAGAACAGCGAACGAAATATACAATATCCTGAGAATAAGCAGTCTTGTACAAAGGTCTTTGTTCTACGGGTGAGTAGAGATGAGCGTGTAAAAACTAATGCGAATGCAGGACGAGAAAGACGCACGCAAGTGGAGATCGGTGATTTATGTCTCACCGCAGCAATTCCCAGAACACTCAAACGAGGGAGTCTACTTTCATCCTCCATCCAACACCCGTCTGAAACAATTACTGAAAAATAATTAATACTCGACCAAATTAAAAGACGCATGATGCGAATGAAACTTCATACTTGACATTGGTGTCGAACGGAGAACGAGAGTACAGGGCCAGAATCAATTTCTAAAAGTTCATTTCCTAAATTGGTCCTACCGGTGAATACCATCGGGCCACCGAGGTCGTCATCGCTATAGCACCAATATTTTGCTCTGTTACTTGGATTACTGATCTCCATACTCTTTACACTTTGGACAGTAGCAAATTGCACCCCTCGTGGAAGAAAGGCGTAACTTTTTTTTATTACTTTTCAGGACGGACACAAACGTAACGCTTTTAATGAAAGTTGTAGTTCTACTTGTATGCAAGCAACTTTACAGCATAACAAAAAATAACTCTCTACATGCCTAATTAAATTACAACAAATCACAAATAAAACGTTTATTATACGAATAAAAAACAAATATTTTTGGTTTTAATTATAAAATTCCTTTATTGCTTAAGATTTTAAGAATTTATCAGCATTGTAATATTGCTTACTTACTTTTTGATTGATATTTACTGTACTTTATCATATTTATAGACAAGTCCTTCTTCCAAGAGCGTTTGAGTAAATATTTGAAGAGCTTTTTCACTTATAACTTTTTGCTGTGAAAAGGAATCTATATTATTATTAAAATAAATGTGTATTGAAATTTATCTTTTGTTACCATTAATAAAACTAATATATTACTTATTTGAAAACAAAATTAGAGTTACTGGTTATGCTTGTAAAATTAAATTGTAATAATAATGCCTTTTGGAGGATTTTTAGCATAAAACTTTAAGAAAAATAATATAATATGTGGATGAGAGTTTTTTTTTATGTGATTGCATTTCAATTAAAAACAGCAGTAATTGCATATTCTAATTACTTATGTCACACGTTGCCTGTACAATAAGTCGTACAATATTTCAAATGTTATAAATTTACATTATTATAAATTTCGACTTATTTTAAATAAAGAACACAATGTAAACAAACATTATTCCATAATAAATACTGAGCTAGTTTAATTTTACGTTATTTTTGTATCAGATAAAAAGGGGTCGTAAGACTGTCACATACCCTTTGTTAGTTCAGAACATTGAGATACATTCTCTTAATGAATCAGAACAGTTAAAAAAGCGATATAACTTAAAATCGTCTTTAAATATATTATCAAAAAAACATTCCAAGTTTGGACTTTCTTTAGATTTTTAAATTTTCTACAAAACTAAAAAAATCTAAATTTAACGTTGAACTTTGATAAAGTTCAACGTGGAAAAACTGTGAATGTTTCATAAAACAATAGCATTTCATTATTTTGACAAACAAATATAAATAATATTGATAATTAAAACACGGCTGTTAACTAGATCTTAATTTTTTTCCAGGCCCGATGTGGAGGAGACCACGCGCTACGTGTATGAAGACCAAGTAGTGAGTATTCTATATGACATCATCGAATGCAATTTAAAACAAAGTGATTGCAATATATTAGATTTTGTTTAAGGTAATCTTTTTTTATGACACCAAGTGACTGGACGTACAAGTCGTGCCCCTGGTGGTAAGCGACACGACTATCCATAACAATTGCAGTGCCATTCAGAGCTTTAATTCGCAAAGATCTTATAGACAATGCCACTGCACCCGTCACCCTAAGACATAAATTGACAAGTCCCATGTGCCTGTAATTTCACCAGCACTCTTACCCTTCTGAACCGCAACGCAATAATGCTCACATTACTGCTTGGCGGCAGAAATAGGTAAGGTAGCAGTACTTCCCTGCACGAACTCTTTCACAAGGAGCTCTACTGCTAATAGTAGCAGTAGAGCTCCTAGGATGATCATAATATAACTTGTTTCCTTGTAAGATGTTCTGAGCCTACCAAGAATAATGATAGCAGCAACCATTTTCACTAAATTAATTTATTCATGTTGTGATTGATTCTATCAAGTCTCGATGGACTAAATTGATTAAAGTCAATGCTTTCCAATGAGCCGTTGAATTTTTTAACTGGAAACTTTTATATTGAAAAAGTTATCTAGCCACTGTCATGTCAGCGTTTCGTCTATACTAGAGCTTTCAGTTTCACTGCATTTGCGCGTCCCGGGAAAACATATGGAGACTGTCCCTGTTTTTAAATTTTTATAAAGCAAAACAAAATCTTATAACTAATTACAATCTAGCTTTTTTCTAATAAGCAACTTTAATTTAACATAATTTCATGATATAAAAGTAACTTATGTAAAGAAATTTTCGATCACAATATTATATATTTTAATATTAGATAAGGAGAAGACACTGTGTTCATGTGTTCATAGTCTGTGTCCAGGAAAAAATAACGAGACTTTTGGAGATTGTTTTAAACGTAGATTTTCATTCTTACAGGCTCAGTATTTAGGCAGTCAAAACATAATATTTTTAATTAAATTCTTTATTAACACAAATTGAAATTATAAAAATTATTTATGAAAATTAGTTTTTCATTTTTAGAGAGTACGTAAGAAACTAAGAGCATTTAATACTGTTTCAGATAGAGAGGACCTGATTTTAATTACCGTTCTTCAGTCTCCACAGATTATACTAAAGCTCCACTGTATAGTGTTGCCATGCACATGTAACCAGAATAAAAAAAATACTGTCGGTTTTATTTTTAATACTTTTTGTTAAGTGATTTAAGTTTCAAAAGCCGTGAAAAGCCGTGGTAGGCAAATGGCTTAACCTACTGCCTCTCAAACTGAGGTCGTGAATTCGGATCCGGGCTCTCACAGCTCTTGAGATTTTTCGGAATATATGAGCGAAAACATTTGAAATTTACCATGACCTTTCCGGTGAAGGTAAATATTATGATGAAATCTACACGTCGAAGAAGGCTCACAAAACTCGGAAAACGTATGAAGTCCCCAACCCGCATTGGGCCAGCGATGATGAAGTCTGAAAAGTCTCGATATTACACGGAGGAACACTGGCTCTCATGTTACAGGTTATCCTACTTTGAGAGTCAGGGAATTTATCTTGCAATGTTCTAACCTTAATGTTTTGCAGTAAACTAACGCTTGGAAAGAAATACATTATTGTTATTATTATTACTCTTAAGACTGACAAAATTAGATTCGAGTCTCGAAAATGCTAAAAAAAATTGTCGGGAATAAAAATTTTCCAGACCGAGATTCCCGGGATGTAAGGCTCTAGTCTATATAAAATGCGTAGTTTAAGTTACTGAACTGTTCCTTCACTACTATAACTATTAAATGACAACTCAAACGTGAAAGTTCGCAATTCATCTGTACATTCTTTTTATGTACGTCAATGAATTTTATATACCATTCATATCAAAGAAAACAAACTCATTGAACTATTAATACGATTTTCTTTTTCCTACACAATATCCTCAGTATTATTTTTGTAAAGTAATACACAACTTTGCGAACACAGAAGGGAAAACATTTTTTCTACAGGAAGAGGAATTACGCGAAATCAGACGTCGCCAAGCTTCGGAGAAACAAAAGAAAGCGAAAAAATTCAACGGAGCCAAAACAGTGAGTGTAAATTATGTACCTAGATATTAATTTTGATGGTATAGTAAAGCAATTTTAATTAAGTGTGCTGTTATTACGTACAACTATTTAAAAAATTTAGCAATCAAATGTTTTATTTTGATGACAGATTTAGATTTTCCAAAGATACAATCTTAACATACTATGATAACTCCACACAAACGTAGCAGCGCGGTTTGTGTGATGCGCGCCCGCCAGCGTGCTCTGTACGGACGTATACATTCGCCTAGTCTAACGGTACACTCGCAATGCATAGCACTGGTCATCTCATGCGCCTTTCATTATTATGTTAATGTGGTGTGTGTCTGTACACGTCCACGGTGGCGGCGGCACGGATACAAACTAGCCGCGCTGCTACAATTTTTATGGAGTTATCATATTTGTCTTATCATATTTTTGATATACCAATCTTGCGGATACTATTCAAAGACCAATGGCGTAACTTATTTTTTATATACCACTAAATGCCAAAATAGTGAATGGAAGAATAAGAAGAATGAAGTTTTTCTTAAACTCTCAAGAAGGAACAGTCGCTGAATGTAATGTAAATGTATTTTGTAAATTAAAGTCCACAGCAAACTATTCGGTACCCTATTTAATATTTTGTTGCAACAGTATCTTACTTAGTAACAGTATCTACAAATTTAAAAAAAAATCCATCTGATTGTCGTCCACGAAATGAAACGAATATTCGTTTACGACTTTTGGATTTGGTTAGTCAAAGTCTTGCAATTAGATGAAATTTCATTAGATGTCGTATTTTTTTTACAATAAAGCCACATGTGAACATACGTCAAAGGTGCTTTTATCATATCAAAGTTATAAAAATATTGCGAACTACATGAAACAAATTGTGTACATGAAATTTTATAACTCTCCTATTCAATCATAACAAGTTATTGACTAATTTCGTTCCTAGAATCTTTAAATACTTTCTTCAAACATTGTAATTTGATAGATGTAGCCGTATTACATCAAGAGTCGGACTAGTGAAGTAAAATAATATTACTATTCCACGGTGAACAGAAGAACTGCGAAATCAAAATTCAACCATTTAAAACTGTAGAATCTGTAAAAACTTTCACAGCAATACATTTTTAACTTGATTTTGTTTACAGAACGAGGCATGGAGCGTCGCCTGGCCGTGTAGCAAGAAACGTGACGTGATGTACAAAGAGTCCAACTGCTTTCTCGTCCCGAGCCACTACGAAACAAAACACCCGTAAGGGTTAAAATTCTGCATTCCTTAATTTTACCAACATGCTTTTGGATTTGAACCCAAGCCTTCCATGAATCATTATTTAGAAACAGCTCTTTTGATAGTCAGTTTTGAATTTGTTTGCAAAGATGAATGTGTAGCATTCTACTTTTGAAATTCTAAAGAGCGGGATCGAACTGTGAGGTGTAGAACTGAATGTATTACAAATCGACGTAAAATAATCAAACAACAAGTACTTTGCTTTTGATTTGAGCATACCCAAGAAAAAAGAAGACTAGGTGCGCAACCAATAGTACACTTCTAAAAAATGCAACTTATGTTGTACCTTTAAATTGTAAAAAGCGGCTTAACACTTCAGGGACGTTTTAAGACAAGTAACAGTTTCCCCATACGGCTGTGCCTTGTAAAAGTGAGTCAAAATAACAATAGCTAATTCAAACTGTGGCCTTTATATTACCACCTCTGATTTCATATTAGTTCATTCTTATCAACAACATGCCTACATAATATTTGCTTATTTGTCAATAAAAATAAGCATCACATACAAAATATCACTGATAATGTTTCATAGATCCCGTAAAAATAAATAATTTACGTACTTATCGAAAATATCTAAGGTTCACTCGGAATCACTGTGAAACCCTTATAAATTTTGCCGAAATCTTTTGTGCCCAATTTTTTTCTTATCGTTTTAAGGAGGTTCTCTTTCTTATACGAACCCTGCCTATCCAAATATATTTTTTTCCTAAACAGTATAGGTAGTTAAGAATTAAACATTGTGTGAACACATTTTCTTCTTTTATTTCAGGGATAAAATAAAGTCCAACGTTAAGTCATCTAAATCGGTGTTCATTGCCTAGAAATCTACTGGAATTTGTTTTAAACTTAAGTTATTCATTATTATAGGCACAAATGTGGACAAAGAAGATTGAATTAATCAATATGTACCAACTTATGTAAATAATTAATATGTATTATGTAAATTTATTTGTATTGTTGATTTTATCATTTTATTTATTTTAGTCTATACCCACATGAAAAAAAACTCATAATATATCTTTATTTATCTGTCAAAGTTTTAGAAATAAAGTTACCTCACCAAATTGTTGGAATTTATTGCAATGAAAGTCCAGTTTGGGACACTTCCCCTCATCAGGCAAGCATCCCGGTCCCATGTTGGGAGTTTGACCAACTTTACGAATACTTAACATGACGAGGCTGCTGATTTTTAGTGATGCCGGTTGGGAATTCGATTTTCACGAAATTCTTGTTCAGTTTCAACACAATCTCAAGCAATTAGGTCTCCTATGAAATTGGTTTTACTATGGATCCATTTCGTTACAAACACCGACAGTTATATTGAAATAATTAAATAACAGTTTATACAAGTACATGATTTCATATATATTAGTATTTAATTGTCACTTTGAAATATGCAATCAATGAGTAAAAAATTTAACATAAAATTTACTGTAATCAAGAACCCCATACGTCAAAAAGTCAACAGCACATCACTATTGTCAGTTGATCTATGTTAAAACGAAGTTGATGTTGTTTTAGGACTAATGAGCTTCTCTGAAGTTTCGTCACGATATCCCGCCAGTGATACGGAATACTTGATTATGCATCCAGAGCCAGCACTAAAGTGATTCTTACTTATTTTATAAGATTGGAATCGTGGAAATACGAGTACTCGACTCCGGAGCTCGCTGCACGCTCTTCGTATGAAAAATAAAATTGCACTGTTTAACGTTGATACATTGAAGAGAAGTTAATGATGTGGAGAATCGATTTTCAGATACTTTCAGAATTTTAAGCTGTATCTTTAGCATGGAGGTTGATAAGAAAGAACTTACCTAGTAGGTAGGTAAGTATCAGTGTTATAGTGCTTTGTGTAAGTTTAACTTTTTCTTAAACGTCATTTTTGTTAGTCTTTTGTTGTTCAAGGTTTTTAACCGACTTCAAAAAAAGGAGGAGGTTCTCAATTCGACTGTATGTTTTTTTTTGTATGTATGTTACGAGATACTTCCGCCATTTGTGAACCGATTTTGATGATTCTTTTTCTGTTGGAAAGAGGGCACCTCGAAAGTGGTCTCATTTAAATTTGAAGAAAATATTCGTCCTCTAAGGGTGGTAAACTAGTAGATGAATGACTTTTGAGGTCGGTTTTTTAGTACTCTTTACTGAGGTTAGGTTATTTAACTATATTTTTTTATTTTATTGCTTTCTTCAACAAAGTTCTGAGAAATAAAAGGTCTGATTGTAACATAGGACCTATCATATCCTTCCAAAAATAGTCCAACTTTCCCCTTTGAAAATATTGCGACATGTTTAACAAGGGTCATCATAAATATTGGGAAGTTCTTCCTGTAAGCGGGCGTGTTGATATTGGCGCCGGTTGCGAAGTTTTACAAGAGCTAATGTTAAACGCAGTATCGTCAGACTGTTTGTCCATAAGCTGTATTCAGGTTTAATATATAGACAGTTTGCTTACGTTGGTCAGGTCAATTGCTAAACCACCATTTTTTTTGCAATATCCTGTTTTAACATAATTTATCTATTTCATATTCAAGCGTGGGCATGCAAGCAGCGCAAAACCGACTACGGACTATGTGACAATCTTTTGGCGTCCATCAGACTTGCGCCTGAAATAATGATGATTATGATGAAATTTAAGTCATATTAAAAGTGGCCGCACACGTGAAAGCTACCTCTCTTTGTGGTATCGCAATTATTTAATTAAAGATGACTACGAAAAACGCCGCGGTAGCCTAATGGTTTGACTTACTGCCTCTGAAGCAAAAGCCGTGGGTTCGAACCAGGACTGTGACCTCTGAGGTTTCGGAATTTATGTGCGAAATTTAATCTGAAATTGACCACGAACTTTTCGGTGAAGGAAACCTGCAAGTCTACGAAGTTCACAAGCCTCGGAAAACGTGTAAAGTCCCCAACCCACATTAGGCCAGCACGGCGGACTATGTATAACCTCATTTATTTGGTCTGTGGCCTAAACCCTCGCCTGAGGGGACCCATGCCTAGCAGTGTGACATATGAATAAGTTGATGTTGTTGTAGTTGACTGAAATTATCACTCATTCATAAATTTTATACAAAAATACTTTGTAGATAGGATAAGTTAATTTAACCTTATTTTTCCAATCTTACCACCTCTTAGATCATGTGTCTGATGTCGCTATATCTTTTTTCAGTCCTCTAAACATATTTATCATACAGATACGTACACGTAAACCATCACAGTGATGTTTTCACTTATATAAATGATGTTTACACTCATAAAAATTGTTATTAACATGTTAAGGATCGTACGCGCTCAGAGAGCAGTTTTAAAGGTACGCCCCTACAAGAGCCGTATATGAATATTGTGAAGTACTTACTATACGCCAACTCTTAGTTCTCCAAACTATACTACGTCAACACGCTACTCCTTCCAGTATTTACTTCATTGCAATACAGTAGACGTGTGAACATCATTCCCCGAAGTGTTATCTATAAAACTTCTTTCAGACAAAAGTTCTTTAATTTTTTGGGACGATTTATTTTAACGTGCTTGATATCCACTAAAGTGGCAACGTTACTGCCACCACCACCTACTGTGGCTAAACGCCGCATTTGGCATTATGCGTCGGCAGATTGGGACGGTATGCGGGACTATTTTGCATCCGTTCCCTGGCGGCAGCGCTGTTTTAGTGAGGTGGATCCAACAGCTAGCGCGACTGCCGTTGCTGATGAGATCTTAATCGGGATGGAATACTACATCCCGCATTCGGATCTCGTCAGTAAAGGGAGGCGCAACCGCTGGTTCAACCGCGAGTGTGCTGTGGCTGTTGAGAACAAACAGACGGCATACCGCGCTTGGATCAGGGGTCTAGCTTCAGACGATCCCAATACGAACTCACTTAAAACAGCCTACAATAATGCCACCAGGTCTTGCAAAAGAGCGTACATCAGAGCGGATGCTCAGCGCGTCGCACGAGTTGGCCTAGAACTCTTGACGCATCCCACAGGTAGTCGTAGCTACTGGCGTCTGGCCAGAGCCGTTGCGTCGAACTTCTGCCAGCCCTCGCTGCCACCGCTGAGATATTCTGACGGCAATCTAGCCCACAAGCCGCAAGATAAAGCCGACCTCTTGGCAAATCTGTTTGCGGCTAACTCCTGTCTCGACGACTGTAACGCACAGCCACCAACTCTACCTCACTGTGGCTACACGATGTCTGATATTCGTATCAGACAATGCGATGTGCGTACGCAGCTGCAGTCTCTCGACGTCCGGAAAGCTAGTGGTCCTGATGGTATCCCAGCGATTGTACTTAGGAATTGCGCAGCTGAGTTGACTCCCGTGCTAACGCGACTGTATCGTCTGTCGCTCTCTTCAGGTCGTGTGCCGGACTCTTGGATAGAGGCTAATGTGCAACCAGTTCCCAAAAAAGGCGACCGATCAGACCCGCATAATTACCGTCCCATAGCCATTACTTCCATAATATGCAAGGTTTTAGAGCGGATCCTTAATAAACAACTGACCCAATACCTAGAAGATCACTCCATAATTAATGATCGGCAGTATGGGTTTCGTCCGAAACGATCAACGGGTGACCTTCTAGTGTACTTATCGCATATTTGGGGTGAGGCTATAGACAAACGTGGCGAATCGTTGGCTGTTAGCCTCGATATAGCCAAAGCGTTCGATCGGGTCTGGCACAAAGCTCTTCTCTCCAAGCTCCCGGCGTACGGTTTGCCAGCCCAGTTATGCAGCTGGATTGCCGATTTCCTTCGTGAGCGGAGAATTCGCGTCGTTTCTGACGGCAGCATTTCGAGGTT